GAGAACCTAGCAATAGAACATGGCTACAGCACCTGGCTGGAGAACCTGGAGAACCTGGCTGGAGAACCTAGCAAGAGAACATGGACACAGAACTTGGCTGGAGATTGTGGCTAGAGATCCTGTCAAGGCTGCTGATCAACAACACACTGTCTCTGTGTCATTCCTTCTTTGCCGACTCCGTCCACACCTTTGGGGACCCCTGGACCTGCTGGGGTCGGACCCCGGCAATATATCATTATTAATTTGTTTTTATTGGACTTTTCTTTACATATTGAAGTATGTTACTGTCTCTGTGTCATTCCTTCTTTGCCGACTCCTTATCACCTTTGGGGACCCCTGGACCTGCTGGGGTCGGACCCCGGCAATATATCATTATTAATTTGTTTTTATTGGACTTTTCTGTACATATTTTGAAGTATGTTTTGGTATACAAAAGTTCATGATTATCATTTTTCTTGGTGGGTTGGAAATTTTATGAAAGTGAAAGGGTTGACCCATTTAATGTTTTGCTATTTATTAATATTAATGTATATTTCATCATTTTAAAGCATCTGTCTTGTGTATATTTTCCTAAACTTTGATTTTATACATTCCTTATAGAAACTGGATAAATTGTCCTTTAAATGCTTCATTCATAAATATGAATAGACAACAAAAGATCTTCAGACTTTTTTCTACAGCTATAATTTTATTTTGATTCTTTAAAATTTCATTTTCAGTTACAGTTGACATTAAATATTATTGTATGTTAGTTTCAGCTCTACAGCATAGTGGTTGGACAACCGTATAATTTGCAAAGTGGTCCTCTGATAGTTCAGGTACCCACCTGGCTATTACATAGCTAGTACAATACTATTGACTGTATTTTCTATGCTGTGCTTCACATCCCTGTGACTATTTTGTAACTACCAATTTGTGCTTCTCAATGTCTTTACTTTTTTTCACCTGACCCTCTCCCCTCTGGCAACTACCGATCTGTTCTCTGTGTCTATGAGTCTGTTTTAATTTGTTTGTTCATTAACTTTGTTCATATAGTATTTGTCTTTCTATGTCTGACTTATTTCACTTAGCATAATATCTTCCAGGCTCATCCATGTTGTCGCAAATGGTAACATTTCTTTTTTTTGTGTGACCAAGTAATAATTCCATTTTATGTATGTACCACCGCTTTTTCAAATCCACTTGTCTATTGGTGGGCACTTGGGTTACTCCCATATATTGGCTATTGTAAATAATGCTGCAATGAACATAGGGGTGCATATATTTTTTCAAATTAATGTGGTTTTTTTGAATATATACCCTGAAGTGGAATTGCTGGGTTGTAAGGCAGTTCCATTTTAAACTTTTTAAGGAACCTCCATTCTGTTTTGCACAGTGGCTGCACAAATCTGCATTCCCACCAACAGTGTACAAGGGGTGTTTTTTCCTCCACATCCTCCTCAACACTTGTTTGTTGATTTATTAATGATAGTCATGCTGACAGGTGTGAGGTGCTATCTCGTGGTTTTAGTTTTCATTTCTCTGATGATTAGGGATATTGAGCATATTTTCATATGTCTATTGGCCATCGTATGTCCTCTCTGGAGAAGTGTCTGTTCAGGTCCTCTGCCCATTTCTAAACTGGATTGTTTGTTTTTCGGATGTTGAATGGTATTAATTCTTTATAAATTTTGAATATTGACCCCTTATCACTGGCGAATATCTTCTCCCATTTACTAGGTCATCTTTTCATTTTGTTGATGGTTTCCTTTACTGTGCAAGACTTTTTAGTTTGATGTAGTTCCATTTGTTTCGTTCTTCTTTTGTTTGTGATATATCAAAAAAAAATATTGCTAAGAGAAATGTCAGAGTTTACTGTCTATCTTTTCTCCTAGGAGTTTTATGGGTTTAAGTCTTTCATTTAAGTAAGGATCGTCATATTTTTAAGGGAAGCCTTAGATATGAAAGACAAAAGCAAAACAAAGGAAAAAAAACAATGTGGTGAGCTGCAGAAAACTTTAAAAATACACTCTACTTGATATACTGTATATTCAAAAAGGCAAGAAATTGTACTCACAAAATAAGAACAAGGGGTAGTAAAATGGCAACCTTACCTTACTAAGAATTGTAATTAAAATATGATAGCTGAAATTTAAATTTTTAGGCAGGATGGAAAATAATGAAAGTAGAACAAAATGTCAAACTTGGTAAGATGATAAAGAAAGGTTAAGAAAATCTGAAGATATTTCCAAGAGACCTCACATCCAAAACAAAAGAAAAATGTTCCAAAAAGAAAACAGAGAAAATGGAGGAGGGAATTATACATCCTAGCAGAAAATTCTTGGAACTAAAGAACTTCAGTTTTCAAAGCAAATACCATGTGCCCAGCACGGTGAGGATGGCAAAAGACTAACATGAAGATATATTGTGATCAAGTTTACAATACAAAGTAAAAGAGAAAGATTTCAAAGCTTCTGAATCGAGGCAGATGTGGAATATGGAGGGCCTTCCATGTATCATTCAGAGCAGCAAGAATTAAAACGTCATTGGACTTTTCAGAAGCAGCAGTGGAAGTTAGGAAACAGTAGAACTGTACCCTAATTTTATATTGAAGAATATTTTTCTCATTTGTAATTCTAAATCCAGCCGAAGTGTCCAGTCTAAGATAAAAGAAAGACAATTTCAGCTATTCAAGTTCTCAAATGTATCTCCCAATGCACAAAACGATCCTGGAGGGCTTATTCCACTTCAAAGGAGTAAACCAAGAAGGAAGACTTTCGAACCAGAATGCAGATCTCGCATGAAAGAGTCCCTGAAATGATATGGGAGTGGAGTCCTCTGATGACAGTTGCATAGTCAAACCAGAGCATAACCCAGACTAGAGCAGGGGAATGGAGAGCTCTAGGAAGGCTGTCTTCTGGAAAAGAAATGATATGGAAGGATTATCTAGTGGCTGTCAAGGTACTGAGAGAAGAGAATCCGACCTGTCAGATTCACAAGAGGTATCAGTGGTAGGTACACAGAGAACCGAGAAAGAGGAAAAGGAGATGGTCTTTAATCCAGGGGGCAACAAAACATGTACAAGAAAAGAAATGTGATCATGGCATAACATGTGGCTCATTAGTGAAGAATAATGTAATTACTGAATGAAAGATTGATCTGTATTGGGAGGATGAGGAGAGGAATGCTGCCTGTGTATGTACAGGAGTGTAGGTGTGTAGATATGTGTAGGAAGGTCAACTTTCATTAGGATTGTGGTAGCGACTGCTGGCTGCCTACCCTATTCACTCTCCCTTGCTCCTTAGTAATAGAACTGTGGATATATATCTGGGGACTAATCTTCCCAGTTAAAACTACATTTCCCAGCTTCATTTGCAGCTAGGTATTGCCATGTGTCTAAGTTTAGCAGAAGTATTTAATGGTGCGTCCAGAAATCTTAAAAGACACGGAGTGAGCCATTATTCTCTTCCTGCCAGCGGTCTGGGATGGGAAAGTAATCGATGGAATTTCTGCCATTATCATGGTCTATGAAAATAAAATACATGCACCAAAGATGTAGAACAGAGAGTTGGAAGGATCCTGAGGCCTTGATGGCACTATAAAGCTACCGTATCAACATTAGACTGGCTACCAGTACATTGGTTTTATGCAAGATAATACACTCTTGTATCTTATGCCATCATATTCAGGTCTCAGTTATATGTAGCAGAACCACATCTTAACTAAATTGCAATTCACTAGATAATACCTAAAATTAAATATTAATAACAGTACAAGCATAGTATTTCATTATAGAAGTAAATATAAACAGGAAGTTGAAAGTAGTTGGTTTGGGCAGTGGGAATTGGGGTAAAGGTCAAGGATCACTTTTTTCTTATAACTTTTAATCTAATAATTGACATTTTAAGTTATCTATATCTTACTTGAATAAAAATAGGTTTATATTTCTTTGGTTACATTTAACTTCATATTTCAAGTAAAAATGCGTGTTCATTGTAAAAATTCAAACAATACAAAAGATAGAGAGTAAAAGTTATACCTCCCTGAGTGTTCTTTGCCTGTCCACTGCCCATCAGTTTTACTGTCCTCCCCAGGGGTAATGGCTCTTTGATATGTGTCTTTCCATACTTTTTCTATGCACTCATTAAGTATATATAGAGATGCACAGTTTTCTTCTTTTATTTATTTTTATTTAAAGTGTATTTAAGTATTAATTTAAGAAAGCATGCATGAGGAAATACTTAGGCTTGTAATAGATGTTGTTTGTCTATATTTTAGAATCCAAGCTGGAAGCATGCAGTTAAAAAATCAGCAAAATGAAATTCAAAGACTACAGAAAGAGCTGAATCATTTACAACATGAGTTAAATATTAAACAGAGACAATCACAGGTCTTCAGGTAAGATTATCTTTACTTAATTGAAAATTATAAAGGTTGAAAAGATACATTTAATACTAACTTTATAAACATTCAAACACAATGTGGTAGTTTAGTTTCTATATTCAGTGTGGTTGAAAAAAATTGAAATAACTTCACTTGGTTTTTGGTGGGTTTTGTTTTGTTTTTATCATGATCACAACTGAATAGTTTTACCAATAAAATTTAAATCAGGCAAACACGTTGTTCTTATTTTGCCTTGACTTTCAGATTGAAAACACAGTAAATAATACATTTTCCCTTTGACCAGTATTTCTTGGTGTGTTTTATTCCTGGGCATAAAAAAAAATAATAGAATAGTGAAACTTTCTAAATTTAGCAATGAAAATGCTAAATTTAGAAATCTTCAACATAAATGGTATTAATTCTGCTTGTATATAGTCTTTGGAGGTTTATGATACCTAAAGTTAAAATCCAATGTTCTAAAGTACATTTTCTTTTCTAACTCTAAAAGGGAATTTAATATAGAGCGAATATTAGAAAGAATGAATTTTTAAATCGAGTCACTTTTTAGCTCTTAGAAAAGGAAAGTAAGTTAAGTGAACATTACAAATGGACACAGGGTCAGGATGACTAAAACTATGCTGGATGAATGTTTTAAACATTAGGTTCTTTTTCTTTCTTTCTCATCTACTACTTATTGCCAGAAACATTGTTCTATTTTCAAAAATTTGGGGGGCTAATAATTTTTTTTGACTTTTTATTTTTATTTATTTATTTATTTATTTTTAATTGAATTTATTGGAGTGACACTGGTTAACAAAATTACATAGGTTTCAGGTGTACAATTCTATAATACAACATCTATGTTTTTTTAAAATTTTTATTGCTTAAAGTGGGGGGCTAATAATTTTTTTAAAAATTGATTTTAGAGAGAGTAAGGGGGAGAGACAGAGAGAAACATCCATGTGAGAGAGAAATATTGATTGGTTGCCTCCTGCATGTGCCCCGATTGAACCTGCAACCTGGGTATGTGCCCTGAGTGGGAATCAAACTCTCCACCTTTTGGTGTAGGGGACGACACTCCAATCAACTCAGCCACACCAGCCAGGGCTGGGCTAATAATATTTTATACACCACCTGGTGATAACCTGCTGGCTATGTTTACCTTTCATAAATGCCTTGCACATGCATGATGCTCAATAAATAATCTTTGAATAAATAAATGAGTCTACTCACAAAACAGGTGACCGTTTTTGTCTTCTCTGCTGTTTCCTAGAAATCTGGTATTGAGCCAGCAGTTGAACCCAACTCGCCATTTTCATCAGGATGATCAGTATTCAAGCTTGGCTTCTACAATAGCTTTGGCACAAGTCTTCTAAGTTACCTATATTTACTTTTAAAAGATTCATATTATTAATCTTTCAAAAATTGTTTGGAATATAAAGTACTTATCATTTTTCTTATTTGCAAATCTATTTAGACTCTGTCATCTTTGAAATTTTTCATGCCAATTCCCAAAAATCTCTCCTCGTAGTTCTCTTACTTTCAAGTCAACTCTTCAGCTTCATGAAGGTTTCCAGTATTTTTCTCTGATTTTTCCCAACCATTTTTTGGCTTTTTTTTTCTTGTCTTAATCCCATAGTTAAATCACTTGACTTTTTAAAAAGCAGCTTTATTGAGACCTAATTGCCTACTATAAAATACACACATTTTAAGTGGCAATGCAATGATTTTTAGTAAACTTACTGAGTTGTGCAACCCACAAAGATCTTCATGCCATTTGCATTTAATCTCTGGTCTTACCACCAGGCTTGGCAACCTTCTTCCTGTTTCTATAAATTCGCACTTTTCGGGACATGTCAGATATGTGGAATCATATCATATGTGGTCTTCTACATCAGGCTTCTATCACCATGTTTTTGCGAGTTATTCATGTTGTATCATGCATCAGCACTTTGTTTCTGTTTTTATTGCTTTAACAGTTTCCATTGTGTGGATATACCACATTTTACTCACCCATTTACCAGTTGGTGGACTTTTGGGTTCTTCCCACTTGACACTTATGAATAATGCTACCGTACAAGTCTTTGGATGTATGTTTTATTTCTTTTGGGCCAATCCCTAAGTGTGGCCTTACTGAATTATACGGTAAATTTAAATTCAGCTTTCTAAGAAACTGCCAAGCTATTTTCCATGTGGCTGCACCAGTTTATAGTCCCACAAGGAACGAGGATTATAGTTCCTCTGAATTCTTGCCAACCCGTCTTATTGTCTGTCTTTTTTATTATAGCCATCCTAGTGGGTGTGAGATGGTATTTCATTGTGGCTTTGGTTTGTGTTTCCCAAATGACCAGTGATGGTGAGCACCTTTTCTTGTGCTTATTAACCATTTGCGTATTGATTTGGTGAAATATCCATTAAAATAATTTGCCCAGTTTGTCAATGGTCTGTTTTCTTATTATAGGATTGTAAGAGTTCTTTATGTTTTGGGTGAAGTCCTTTATTTGAAGTATGATTTACAAATATTTTTCTCCCAGCCTATTCATATTTTCATTTTTGTAACAGTCTATTTTGATGAGCAAAAGTTGTTATTTTTAATAAAATAAAAGGTATCAATGTTTTCTTTAATGGGTTATGCTTTTGATAATGTATCTAAGAACTCTGACTAACCAAAGGTCACAAAGATTTTCTCCTGTAGTTTCTTCTGACACTTCTATAGTTTAGCTCTTAAATTTTATGACTGATGTATGGCAAGGATCTAAATTCATCTTTTTTTATGTGGATGTTCAGTTGTCCCAGCATCATTTGTTTAAAAGTCTGTTCT